TGGTTAAGCGACTGCCTTCGGCTCAGGTCATGATCCTGGAGTCCCGGGATCGAGTCCCACATCGGGCTCCCTGCTCAGCGGGGGGTCTGCTTCCCTCTGCCCTCTCCCTTTCGTGCTCTCTGTCTCTCATTCTCTCTCTCTCAAATAAATAAATAAAATCTTTAAAAAAAAAAAAAGGACATACATAGTTTTGTAATTACGATTCTAAAATTCAGGAGTCAAATGACTTCGGTTTCGATTTCATCTCGACTTTTACTAGCTCTTTGGGATAGTTTAACCTCTCTAAATCCTAGTCTCCTAAACTATAAAATGGGGTTAATAATAACATGCCCCTCATAGGGTTATTGTGAAACTGAATCAGACAATCTATACAAAGCATATCAAAGCATCTGGCATGTAGCATTTTCTCAGTAAATGTTATATTAAAATCATAGCAAAGGCAATCATTATTTCTAAAGATTTATTTATTTTGAGAGAGTGCATGCAAGTGGTGGGGAGGGGTAAAGGGAGGGGGACAGAGAGAGTCTCCAGCAGACTCCCTGCTGAGTGCAGAGCCCGACAACACGGGGCTCCATCTCAGGACCCATGAAATCATGACCCGAACCGAAACCAAGAGTCGGACACTCAACTGACTGAGCCACCCAGGCCTCCTGGCAGTTATTTTTTACACTTAATTGAATTCATTTACTAAAATGAATTTTTAAGAAATAAATTCTGTAAGTATTTTTATATAAGGTATAAGTTACTTAAGTTAGTTGTGTCTTTCTTTAAACATCGTGGAAATTCATTGTTCACAAATCTTTGAATAATCATTGCTACACTGAAAATGAAGCCTACAATTTCATAGGAATACAGACTTTAAAGTTAGAATCACCTGGACCTGGGACTGCGTCCTGACTGCACTGTTATATTCCACTCATAAATTTGAGAACTTTTTTTTTTTTATAATCAGCTTTATTGAGGTCTAATTTACAAACAATAAAATTCACAACTTTCATGCTTACAGTTTGATGTGTTTTGGCAAAAGTATACAGTAGTGTTAGTGCAGCCACTGTCCCAGTATAAAACATTACCATCTTTGTGTATCTTCCCTCTCCAAAGCTCCATTTGCTCACCCGCAAAATGGGGATAAAACGTAGCAACCCAAGAGGGCTATAAACACAGGGGCTAATATATAAACTGCCTTGCACAGGGAAGACATTGCTAGTGTCGTTATCATACACATCAGTTTTTCATCTTATTTTCTAGCTTCTGAAAGTTCTGCTGAAGACAGTGAGCAGGAGGATGAGACCGGTGCTCAAGACATAGATAACAATGGCAAAGAAGACTCTAAGATTGATCATTTGACCCACACCAGAAATGATCTTCTTGCAAAAGAGGAACAGAACAGTTCGTCTTTGCTAGAAGAAAACAAAGTCCATGCAGATTTGGCAATATCCAAACCAGTGTCAAAATCTCCAGAAAGATTAAGAAAAGATATGGAAGGATTATCTGAAGATACTGATTATGAAGAAGAAGATGAAATCACAAAAAAGAGAAAGGATGTTAAGAAGGACACCACAGAGAAGTCTTCAAAGCCACAAGTAAAACGTGGTAAAAGAAGGTATTGCAATACAGAGGAGTGTTTAAAAACCGGATCACCTGGCAAAAAGGAAGATAAGCCCAAGAACAAAGAATCACTTTGCATAGAGAACAGTAGCAACAGCTCTTCAGATGAAGAGGAAGAAGAAAAATCAAAAACAAAGATGACACCAACTAAGAAATATAACGGTTTGGAGGAAAAGAGAAAATCTCTACGGACAACTGGTTTCTATTCAGGATTTTCAGAGGTGGCAGAAAAAAGGATAAAACTTTTAAATAACTCTGACGAAAGACTTCAGAACAGCAGAGCTAAAGATCGAAAAGACGTCTGGTCAAGCATTCAGGGACAGTGGCCTAAAAAAACACTGAAGGAGCTTTTTTCTGACTCTGACACGGAGGCGGCAGCCTCCCCGCCCCATCCTGCCCCAGAAGAGGGGCCGGCGGAAGGGTCCCTGCAGACTGTGGCCGAGGAGGAGAGCTGCTCACCCAGTGCCGAGCTCGAAATACCGCCTCCAGCCAGTGCTGATAGTAAACCTGCTGAGGAAAAACCCGTGGAGGTCAGTGACAAAAAAGCAGAATTTCCAAGTAGTGGCAGCAATTCCGTGCTCAATACCCCTCCTACTACACCTGAATCGCCTTCCTCAGTCACTGTAACAGAAGCCGGTCGGCAGCAGTCCTCTGTGACAGTATCAGAACCACTGGCTCCAAACCAAGAGGAGGTTCGAAGTATCAAGAGCGAAACGGATAGCACAATTGAGGTGGATAGTGTCGCGGGGGAGCTCCAAGACCTCCAGTCGGAAGGGAACAGCTCACCGGCCGGCTTTGACGCAAGTGTGAGCTCCAGCAGTAGTAATCAGCCAGAGCCGGAACAGCCTGACAAAGGTGAGGAGCAAGTACACGCTGCCCTTCTTACCTTTCCAAGGGCTTCACGGTGTCTCTCGTTAGAACGTGAGGTGTTTAAGTGAAGTACTTGTGTGAACATGGTAAAAATGGAAATTTGAAGGGTAATTTAAGCAATGCATAGTGAATGAATTGAAAAGCTTGATGAAGACTTAATGTCCTTTGCTTGAGCTGTCTGTTACATTTCATAGTGGATCAGAACACACGCTAGAAATGCACCCAGGCCCAAACCCAAACCTTTTTGAAAATTCATTATACACTGGTTGACTGTATGGCATGAGCAGCTTGAATATATTTCTGTAACGTTGTTTTTGCGATTGTAATGTGCAGTTTCTCACAAACATTTTGATTTATTGACAGACCCCTCCACCCTTAACCAAATACTGTATGTAGGGGTTTGGAGCAACCAACTGTCCAGGCACTGCTTTCCTCAGACAACCGTGTCAAACTGATTTTCAAGCCTGACTAACTTGTGTGAGTTTGTAAAGGAATTTGATGCTTTCTTAGATGCATAGCTTCCAAATTGAAGGACCAATGTGTATGTTAATAACCTACAGTAATACTTTTTTGATTTTCCGTGAAGTTGTTGAAAGTGGAAATTCAAATTAGTACTTCCCAAAAGTATTAGTGCCTTTTGACTTTGCCATAGCTATACTTCTGTCATCATTTTTCTTATAAACCATTTCATTCAGGTGTCCTCAAATGAATATAATATACGCTGACACTTGGCTTTGAAACATACTTTTCCATTATAAAGATAGGATATGTGTTTTATATAACATACAGTTTTTATTATGCTAGCCTGATGTTTTTAGCTGAACTTAAGGAGATGTGATAGAGTTCAAATGAATTAATTCCAAGTTTTCTCATACAAATAGTTTCTCCTTTTTTTCTTTTTTCAGCTTTACTGAGATATAATTGATGTAATATTGTCACACAAATCTTGACTTAAAACATTTCTTTTTAAAAAACAAATATTAAGTGAAAAATATAGTTGCAATTCAATTGGGATCTTCATTGTGTTTTCACATTCATACAGCTATAGTATGTGTGCCATGGAGAAAAGATGCAAGAGCTTGTCTTCTGATAGACTAAGTTAGCACTGCCCTTTAGAATCTTAATCTTGACCAGGTTAAAAAGTATTCAACTTGAGAAGTACTCCCAAATTTAGGATAACAGAGGCCATCTGCTTTATCAGTAGTTTTTTAGAATTGATCTCTCTTTAGAAATAAATTCTTAAGCACTCATTTCATATGGCCTCATTTTAAGAACTTTATTTCTTAAAATTCACATTATATCAAAAGTAAAATGTAAATTTTACAATTTAGATTTAGGATTTCTCTCCAATTAGCTTACATTAAGCTTTTTATTTCTTGCAGCTGAGAGCTTCAGAATTAATACTCTTTTAGGGAGAAATCTGGCAATTTTTAAGACTGTGCTTCAATATAGTCCTTATATTAATCACCTTTATGTTTCATTTAAGTTGTTATTTTAAAATGGCTTTAGGAAAAATGATCAGTAAGGTGTAATTAAAAAACTATCTAGGAAGTTGCAAACAAAATAGTTAATAGCCTATTCCATTTTTGACCAAGGAAGCCATGTCTTCTGTGCTCAAGACTGATTTTACCATTGGTAACAGGACTAAGAAATATTTCTTAGTGGAAACATGACAATTTTTTTATCATATTTATATCATGTCATTATAGTATCCGACATTGTACTGAATAGAGATGAGACTTTCTTAATGTCTGAAGAAGTCTGGTAGATGACACATATAATTTAGAAATACACAGAAACACAGCAGATGCTGAGGACCAAGTTAATAGTATAGAAAAATGTACTGAAACTACCGTTTGAAGTAGTGGTCAAGTCATGAAGCCTGGGCATCAAGGAAGGTCTTAGTGAAGATGTAGGACATAGGCTACTCTTTGAAGAAAAAGGAGACATTTATGATGTTTCGGGATAATTTCCTACCAAGAAGATGAAAAGTTTCTTAGAATTACTATGCTGGATTTGTAAATGGTATATGCATTAACCAGTGCCTTGGCAGTGAAGTCATTTTTGGAATAAATAAATTGATAAAATAACTAAGTGTGAATTACTACTAAAATTTATCCCATTAATATGATGATACCATTTTAAAATTATTATTGATAACATTATATCAATATTTTTACCTGTAATTAAATCTTAATATTTATTTTGGTTTTATTGAATTTTAACAAATTTCAGTTTTTATTTTCAGCATTTACCTGTTTTTGAATTACTAGACTCATAAACTCCCAGTACTAAGTTGAGAACTATTTTTAGTTTATATCTGATTTTTCTAAGAAGGATGTGCATACTTTGCTTTTTTAAAACTCTAACTTTTATTACGTGCAGTAAGTAATTCAGTGCATTAATGATAATTTATTCTAAAAATTACAGTAATTTCTACGATAATTTATAAATCTCATAAAGAACATGCATGGTTTCGGAATTGTTCTATACTTCTAAAATGTGGAATTAATTTATACCTAGGAAAGTTTGATTTTATTTTGTGTTACTTAATAATTTCTTTCCCATCGTAGCCTGTACAGGTCAGAAAAGAGGGAAAGAATCTCAGGGAGGAGGAAGTTCATCAAAAAAGCAGAAGCGAAGCCATAAAGCAACAGTGGTAAACAACAAAAAAAAGGGAAAAGGCAGTAAGTGTGAAACCTCTCATTATTTAAATATAAAAATAATGGCGGATATTTTTTTTCCCCCCATTAAGAAAAGGGTATTCAGGATATGGGATAGTTAAATATTTTGATTTTGTCTCTGCCCTCAAAAAAGTCACACAGAAGTCTTCTGATCCTAGGTAAATTCTAGGATTAAGCAGTTTGGTGTTGATATTCAGCAGTGGTATTGATTGCTGATGAATGATCAGGTAATCCTTTTTAGATTAATAGCCAATATAATATAAGCTCAACATCTTTGTTAGTTTTATGTCCCACAGTTCTTTCCACTTGTCATTTATATGTGCCATATATAATTGAAAATGCTTCAATTATATATTATTTTTATTACAATGAAATTGATTGCTTTGTAACTCTTCAAGGCAAATCAGACTGGAAGAGAAGAATCAAGATAGCTTTAGAGCTGTAATTCCAACAGCTCCCGTCTATTACTTTTATCTTTGGTACCCCAAACTATGTGTCCCAAGAGCAGCTATATACAATACTAAAGATTTAACTTTAGTAATGGCTCTGTTTGTTGACCAACAGGAATTTATATACTGTATTTCTCCTGAGAGCTGCACATTTTATCTCTCTTTTGTAGACAAAGTAAGAAGCAGAAAATATGTAAAGAATTTTTTTTCAGGTGCCCCACACTGACCTCCTGCTGCTCTTCCAGGAGACTCCTGCCACCTCCACTGCCTGACCTTTGCTATCGGCCGGCTTGGCTGCACTTCAGTGCAGAAAAGGGTTATGCGGCCAGCTCCCCGAGGTTCTGCTGAGCCCATATGACTTCCAGGCGGTGAATATGGCGTCCCTCGGGGCCCCGGGCGGCTGTGCTCAGCAAGGCCGTGAAAGCCAGGCTGAGGCAGACCACTGCATCAGAGTGGGGCCAAGCCTTGGGTGGCTTAGCTAGGAGTTGCCAGGGGTTCCAGAGCAGCAGTGGTGGGATTGGGAGGGAATTCGTTTAAGATGTGTGGAAAGGAGTTTCTCCATTCTCCAAACACCACAGTGGGAGGAGTTGCTCTGTACCTTTTCTATCTAAATACTTTTCAGGCTTTGAGAGCCTAACTGTGCTTTTTTGGGGGGTAGCTGTTGTTAAATATAGAATAAATACATGCCAAATTGATCACCAATTACTTGGAATAACCGACAGGATATTGAAAGTGTTACTACACAGTGATACTTTTGTCTATAAGACTTTACCATTTAAATGACATTTCCTAAGAGGGCTCATCTTCAACAAGTCAGTTAATGTATTCCTACAATTTCGAGGTACAGCAGTTAAATTTGATTGTATTCTATAACTGTTCTGTAGCAGTTATAGTTAATTGTATTCTCCCATTTTAATGATTGGGCTAAAGGCTTGGTAAATCAGATGAGGAAACCATTTTCTGAGAATAATTTAGTAAAGTGGAACCAACTCATGGAATCTCAGATAATACTTTGTATCCAGAAAGCGGTAATTCATGGAAATATCAATCCCATCACCTATTCACATGGTAAACTGGCAAGTTTAAGCCTTTTTATTGAAGGACTGAGGCTTTACTCAGCAGAGGCAGATGTACGTAGTTCTTACATAGATTTGTGAAATCTTCATGCTGAATATATTTACCAGAGTTGAACTGATGGTTTATTTTAGTCAACAAGCTACGATGTAGGAGTTACTTGAGGAGAAAATCATTGTACACATCGAAGTTTAGAGTTTGGGAACCCAAAGTATTTTTTATTGAATTTCATGATTATCTATCATTGTTTGCTTGTGGCCAGAGGAGTAGGGAAAGTGTTACATGAACATGATCTGTATACAACCTAAAATATTAAATTTAAGTTCCTATAATGAGTCATTTAAAAAAATGCTGTATAATAGTAACAGAATAAAGAGCCATTCAAATATGTAATTATGATACATTTGACAGTCTACCAGGTATAATGGAAGATTAGTTTGAATGTTTTTTTTTTTTTTTAAATATTATTGGCAATTCAGGTAAGAATTTTTTGGTTTTGTTTTTGTTTCCCTTGACTGAGATGCTGCTGTATCTGTACATGATGACTTTCCAGGTCTTTAGGCAGGGTCTATAAAGCAAGGTATTTACTTTAGTAATGAATTCATGTGGTTAATTTTAAATTGTTTACTAAAATCGGTGACAAAATTTTTGTTACTTTTCTGTTTACTAATGCTTTTCTTTTTCTTTTTCTTTCAGCAAACAGTAGTGATAGTGAAGAACTTTCTGCTGGGGAAAGTGTAACTAAGACTCAGCCAGTCAAATCAGTTTCCACTGGAATGAAATCTCATAGTACCAAATCTCCTGCAAGGACACAGTCCCCAGGAAAATGTGGAAAGAATGGAGATAAGGATCCTGATCTCAAGGAACCCAGTAATCGATTACCCAAAGTTTACAAATGGAGTTTTCAGATGTGTAAGTGACATTTAGTAAACTGACAGTTAAGAGGAAGAAACGTCAGCCTGGTAACTCTTGAGGCTAATAACCCTGAAAAAGAGGCTGTAACCAAACTTGACACATCGTAACCAACTGCAGTGTAGAGAGCTTAGTTGGATCTTGATTTGAATGAACAAGTTCCTTAAAGAAAAATTTCAAGGCAATTCAGGCAAATACCAACATTAACTAGATATTTATGACAGGATGTTAGACATTTGAGACAAGATTTGCCATGAATTGCTAATCACTGAAGCTGGATGATGGTATGTGGGACTGCATTATTATTCTGTGTACTTTTGTTTATATGAGAAGTCTCCATAATAAAGACTTTTTGAAAAAGATTACCCCAGAGTTTCTCACATATGGAGATATTCTTAGGAAATTGAAAACTGCTTTTTAGATTTAGCTAAAATTTTCCTACAATTTAAAAGTTATACATAAAAAAAATGTTATACGTACTCATAAAAATCTAAAAAGAGGACAAAAGAGAAAAATTTATCCACAGCCCCGACATTCAGAACTATATTATGATTTTTACATTTTGGTGTCTTTCTAGTCTTATTTCTAAGTATGATTTTTAGTGATACTGTATATGAATGTTGAGTTTTTAGCATACGTGTTTAGGTCTTAAGGTTTTTAATTCTGCACATTCATTCATTCAACGGATACCATTCATGTATTATATACCAGGCATGTATAGGCATAGCTTTGCTTTGCTTTGCTTGCTTTCTTTCCTTTTTTTTTTTTTTTTTAAGATTTTTAAGTAATCTCTACACCCAATGTGGGGCTTGAAACCACTACCCGAGATCAAGAGTAGCTTGCTCAACTGACTAAAAGCCAGCTAGGCGCTCCTATATAGGCACAGCTTTTTATGTTCTAGGCTAGGAAAAAAAAAATCTCAGGGAAACAAATACCCACAAGCCTTATTTTTAGTTTATTTGACCTTTTTCTACAACCCTACTATATGCTTTCTTTTATGTACTACAGTTTTGTTCAAAAATACATATTGATGAAAGTTTTAAATTCACAGCGGACCTGGAAAATATGACAAGTGCTGAACGTATCACAATTCTTCAAGAAAAACTTCAGGAAATCAGAAAACATTATCTGTCATTAAAATCTGAAGTAGCTTCCATTGATCGGAGGAGAAAGCGTTTAAAGAAGAAAGAGAGAGAAAGTAAGTATTAATCTTACTTAAAAAGCAGTTTATGACTGCATTTAGACTCATGTGAGTTTATGTCTATGTATCTTCGGGCAAGTTCTTTAATTGCTCTGCCTTATTTTCCTCATCTATAAAATGGAAAAAGTTTATCTAAAGAAAAACAATTATCTCAAATCACAATGTTCACTTTCGTGGAGTTTACAATCTGCCTTAAAAAAAAAAAATGAGATTTTGGATCGTGAACAGCACTGTGAAGAGAATGATGTTAAGGCAGGGATTGGATGGGCTGTGTTAGATTACCAGTGGTCAAGACATTTTCATTGAGACCTGAATGACCAGAGGAAGTTAAATCTGAGGGAAAAGAGTTCTCTTAGTCTGCCAGGGCTGCCATTAACAAAGTACCCCAGACTGGAGTCTTAAACAACAGGAAATATATTGCTTATCTCCAAATACTGTCACAATGGAAGTTAGGGCTCCAACAGAGAAATTTAGAGAGACACAATTCAGTCCATAAGAGTCCTGGGCATAGAGAACAGCACGTATTTCCTAAGATAGAGTTTCTTAAGCTTGGAACTATTGACATTTTAGGCCAGATAATTCTTTGCTGTGGGGGGCTGTTCTGTGCACTGTAGAATGGGTTAGCAGCATCCTTCATCCCTGGCCTCCAACCACTGGATGCCGCCCCCCCCACCCCCAACCTCAGGACAACCAAAAATGTCTCCAGATGTTTTTCAAATATCCTCTAGGGGGCAAAATCTCCCCAGATTGAGAACAGCTGCTCCAAGGAGGGGAGATACACTTGGTGCCTTTCAGGAGCAGAAAGAAAACCACTGTGGTGAAAGTGATAGAGACAGAAGTTAGGTAAGCAGAAGCATAGAGACGGAAGTTAGGTAAGCAGAAGCCAAATCATGTGGGGCCTTGTAGGGAAGGATGAAGGGTTCAGATTTTATTCTAAGTGAGATGGACAGCTATTTGAAAGTTTTAAACAGAATGAAAGTGACCTTTTCAAGAGCATTTACGTGAGCTGTGGAGATGGAGAAGCTGTATTAAAGCTGATTAAGTGGAGGAAGGGGTAGGGAAGTAGAGGAGGTAGAGAAGGTGACCCTAGGAGAAAGGGAACCCTAGGAAAATCTTACGTTTTATAGTTTTGTAGTGAATGCAGAAAGCGGACATTAGGGGTGGGGGGAGGGGACAGTGTCATTTTTTTTTTTTAAGATTTTATTTATTTATTTGAGAGAGAAAGAATGAGAGACAGAGAGCATGAGAGGGAGGAGGGTCAGAGGGAGAAGCAGACTCCCTGCCGAGCAGGGAGCCCGATGCGGGACTCGATCCCGGAACTCCAGGATCATGACCTGAGCCAAAGGCAGTCGCTTAACCAACTGAGCCACCCAGGCGCCCCGACAGTGTCATTTCAAGCTTATGATTTTGCCTCCCCAACCCTCCTCTTTTGACACTGCTCCCATTCTCTGAAGCACGTTGATTTTCATTTTCTTTTTCTTCAGAGGAATGTTCTTCCTTCCCTCTCTTGGTGTTGTGATAAGTCCTATAACTCTCTCCACCTTTTGTCTAGGCTTTTTAATTTATGCACTGGCTGAAAGTCTGGGTTATGGAGTAATTTGAAAAGAAATTAAATGTTAATATATAGAAAGTATATACAGAAACATTCTGTCAAAGGAGGGGGATCATCAGGGTTCTATTTGATATATAACCATCTAAAAATAATTAAAAATCAATTATAATAAGCATACTATTTAAAGAGCTCCTTACTCTTAAAGTCATCCAAGCCTTTTTAGAGTGTTTTTTATGTAGTAAGAGGTCTATCCAGAAACTGCTCCTCTAAAACAGTGTTTCGTATATGTGGTCACCACAGATTCTCTGTAGCAAGTGATTCTGATAAATGGATGCTTTCTCTGGGGAGTTAGCATTAAAAGTCAGTTCCTAAATACTATTGAAGTATCAGTAGGAAGGGGCACCTGGGTGGCTCAGTCAGTTAAGTGTCTGCCTTCAGCTCAGCTTATGATTCCAGGGTCCTGAGATCTAACCCCACGTCGGGCTCCCTGCCCAGTGGAGAGCCTGCTTCTCCCTCTCCCTATGCCCTCCATCCCCACGCTCATGCTCTCTCTCTCTTGCTCTTTCTCAAATAAATTAAAAAAAAATATCAGTAAGAAAATGACTATCCTAGTTGTCAAAGAAAAGCCAAATATGATACTGTTCCTAGCCCCCTCCAAAATGTGTAACTGAAACCAGTGCTAGGAAAATAGAGTGAAATTCATATACATTGCTGGAAGCATTGGCACAATTATTTTGGAAAACAGTTTGACTATATATTTGGAGAACTAGCTAATTCGAGTTCTAAGAATAGGTCTCAAGGAAAAATAGTAACCATAAAGAAGTTTGTTGTAATATTTATAATAACAGATAGAAATTATTTAAATTGTGATACATTACACTGAAGAAAAAGTAGACATTTAAAATTTTATTTAAAATGTTCAAAATTGGAGTGTCTGGGTGGCTCAGTTGGTTAAGCCATCTGCCTTTGGCTCAGGTCATGATCCCAGGGTCCTGGGATCGAGCCCTGCATCATCAGGCTCTCTGCTTATTGGGGAGGCTGCTTCTCTTTTCCCTCTGCCTGCCACTCTGCCTACTTGTGCTCGCTCGCTATCAGATAAATAAGTAAAATCTTAAAAAAAATTAAAATGCTCAAAATAGTCATTACATTGTTGTTAACAGGAAGAGACTAGGGATTGAAGAAGTTACAATTCATAATATAATGGAATACTATTCAACTTTGAAAAGAAAAAGGGGGGGCGCCTGGGTGGCTCAGTCAGTTAAGCTCCTGCCTTCAGCTCAGATCATGATCTCTAGGTCCTGGGATCCAGCCCCACATCCGGCTTCCTGCTCAGCAGGGAGTCTGCTTCTCTCTCTCTCTCTCTCCCCTCCTCTGCCCCTCCCCACCGATTGTTTCTCTCTTTCTCTCTCTCTCTCTCAAATAAATAAAATCTTAAAATAGAAAAGGAAAAGAGGTATTTGTATATGTATGGCTATGGAACAGTCTCATAAGATAGTTAACTGTTAAAAAAAAAATCAAGAGTCAAACACTATACTGTGATGCTTCCACTTGTTTTTTTAAAGTAGAGTTGTAGCTACACATGTTAAATTTGCATATCGTATCTCTAGCTTTGGAGATAACATTCCTCCAGAACAGGGGTTGGAAACATTTTCTGTAGAGGCAGATGATAAATATTTTGGGCTTTGTTGGCCAAGTGGTCTCTTTCGAACAACTTGACCCTGCCATTGTAGGTGTGAAATCTACCATAGGCAAGATGTAAGTACGTGGGCATGGCTGTGTTCCGATAAATTTTTCTTTACAGAAGCAGGTGTGCCAGATTTGGCCTGGGGGCAGTAATTTGCCAGCCCCTACTCTAGAGTTTTAAAGACTATGAAGCAACTGGTAACAATGGGGAAGCGTTATTTGGGGGACTTAGGAGGGTTTTTGATCAGAAGATTTGCTTTTCCACCTTATATTCCTGTAAAGAAGGAATTTCTTTTACCTTGTGCATGTATTCCTTAAAACTTTTTTTTTTTTTCCAAATACTGATTGATAGCAAGGAGAGAATTTCCCTGAGGAAAATAAGAAATGTGTCATTTGCTTTGTAAATGAAGTGCAGGAAAATGCAGATCAGTTAGCCCTCCATTCTCATCACCATTTAAATTCCTAAGAAACTCCCAACACAGGAAGATGCAGGAATTAGGAGGGAAGCGGAGTTTTGGGTGGATTACAGATTTTTCCTATTGGATTCAAAGCTCTTTTTGACATTTGTTTCTGTTGTTACAGAAAGTCGATTCTCAGTTTTATTTCCATGTCTTAATAGACTGGGCCCATGATTTTTTTTCTTCCTAATTGATCCATGCAGGAGCAGCATTCCCTGATCTGTCCTTTTTCATTAACTCTGTAGTTTGGCATGGTCTAGCTACTTGAGATACACTAGTTTTTCCTCTCTTTACATTATGGTATTGTGACATACAGACCACTCTTGTTGTCAGCTAAATGATTTTAGACAACAGAATTTTAGTTGAGAGGACTGCTGTTTTCTTTCTTTCTATTGTTGTATATACGTTTATTAAGCCTTTGGTTTGGTCTTCCCTTTCTTCAGGTGCTGCTACATCCTCATCCTCTTCTTCCCCTTCATCCAGTTCCATAACAGCTGCTGTTATGTTAACTTTAGCTGAACCGTCAATGTCCAGCGCATCACAAAATGGAATGTCAGTTGAGTGCAGGTGACAGCAGGACTTGCTAAAGCACTTTGCACTTAATGGCTGTTGAGGGCCACGTCTTTTTTTATACTGCACAGTGGCACAAAAAAAAATCAGACAAGCACTATTTTATATTTAAAAATTGTTTCTTGACAAGCTGACTTGGCACTTAAGTGCACTTTTTTTATGAAGAAAAAGTACAATGAACTGCTTTTCCTCAAGCAATAATTGTTTCCAACTTGTCTGGGAATTGTGTGTCTGGTAACTTGAAGGCCTTCCACTGTGGCAAATGGAGGCTTTTCACTGCCTGTAGAGACAATACAGTAAGCATAGTTAATTCGGTGGGCCAGAACATGTTAAGATAACTTACTGTATATGTATTCCCTTGTATTTTGTTAAAGCTGGAACATTTGATATTTTTCCATTTATTTATGAAAAAATATGAACCTATTTTCATTTGTACGAGCTAATTGTTTTTTAAAGCAAGTCACCTTAGGGTGGCTTTAATTGTATAAGTCAAGCACATGTAATAAATTCAAAACCTGCAGTTAACAGGATATTAGACATCAATCCTGGTAACCAAATATTAAAGATTCTCTTTAAAAAAGACTGAATATGTTTACAGGTTTGAATTAGGCTAAAAGGTCTTGCAGTGGCTTTTCATGCCCCTTCAAATTGGAATGGAACTACTGTACTTTGCCATTTTTCTATAAATCAGTATTTTTTTTTAATTTTGATATAATACATTATGTGAAAAAAGAAAATGGCTAATAAACTGTATTAAATCTTAAACAATGTATAAAGATTGTACTTAGCCAGTTCAAAGTGTATATTTATTCATAATGAATTATAACAGTTATATTTTTGTGTTTTCTTGTAAATGTTTCTTTTTCCTTAAATACAGATAATTCATTTGTATTGCTTATTTTATTATGAGCTACAACAAGAGGATTTCAGGAACAAGTAAACTGTATTAGTATGGTTCAAGGTTGTTGATATGAACTGTCTCAAAAGGATGGTTGTTATTTTAAGTATAAATAGCTGATCGGGGTGGTAGGCCTATAAAAATTAAATGCCTTGTATAAAATCCAAAATGAACGCAAAATTGTTTTCACTTGTATTGACTTTATGTTGTATGATTCCAATCTCTGTTCTGTTTGGCACTTGTATTTAATTCTACACCTTTGTAAGACATTTGTATATTGCGATGTGTTCATTCAAGCTATTTAATACCTGGCACTGTTAATACACAGTACTTTACTGTACAGACTGTTTTACCGTTTTAATTGTAGTTCTGTGTACTTTTTTTGGATGGGGCTGGCATGTTTTGTTTTCTGGCAATACGACATGTGAGAATTTCGAAGCGTTTTGTTGTAGATGCTAACGTGTCAGAATCCTTTACATTCAACTTTTCTAAGAAAAGCATTTTCAGTCTTGTAGTGTGTGCTTACAGTAACTAATTTTGTTGAAAATGGTTTCAAGTTATTCAAATTTGTACAGGACTGTAAAGATTTGTTGACAGCAAAACGTTGAAGAAAAAGCTTATAGAATAAAAGCTATAAAGTATATATTAGGATCTGCAAACAATGAAGAATTATGTAATATATTGTACAAATATAAGCAAAGGCTCTGAAATAAAATGCCATAGTTTGTGAATCCTTGATTTTGTTTCTAAAAGATTAAGTAATTTTAGTTCATTTCTGTATATGATGACTGACTGAAACATACATCTCCAGCCTGTATTATCAGAAGGGGTTTAACTGACATACCAAAGAAGGGAAATATTATACCTATAAAAATTAAAAAGTCCATTAATCAGACACAGGATTTAGTAGGTATTTTTTATCTTTGTATATACACTATAGACTATTTTGCTTGAGTCTGAACGTGAATATGACTTGGAGGTTTGTCTAAAGAAAAAAGAGTATTTTCTTTAACATGTGGAACCATTACCAGCAGCTTTTTTTATTTTTTCCTGTCTTGTAATTTCATTGCACTTTTACTTTTAGTGTACTCTGCCCCACTGCTCATTGGAATCATCTGGGCATTGTTAAAACAATAGTCGATACTTGTGCTGTGCCCATGGTGGTGGTGCTGGCGGTGGGGCAGCTTTTGCCCCCCAAAAAGTCGTACTTAATTGGTCTAGGATGAAACTTGGATGTCGATCTTGTTTTAATGGTCTCCAGTGACTTTAATATGCATCTGAGTTGAGAACCACTGCTTTTCTCCCCATTTTAAAAAATCGGTAATTAGGTTTTTTGCCCCACTTAATGAACTTTCCACCAAGAGACAATCCTTTCTTAAAACAGTAATTTTTAAGGCCTAAAAAGCTCAAATGTATAGTTTTAAAGCACCTTTGGGATGACCCTTTATTTTTACAGAAATTTATTTAACTTCTAAGGGATGAGTTTTAAAATCTGTAGAACAGTGCTTCCCAAAATGAAGTTCTAGAATACTGGTTCCTGGAAATGCTTTGGGAGTAGTCAAATATATATGCCATATATAGCACTTTTTTTCCGCAGAGATTCCATTGTTAGCATATTAAAAACTGAGGAGGCCTGTGAAGAGATACCTGGCTACACTTCCTTAACCCTACTGTTTTCAATCTTGCCTGATCATGAAACCTTGTTTCTCAAGGAACTACTAATATAACCGACTTTTTATGTTACAGAAACAGTGCTCTAGCAGAGAATGATTCCAAACTTTGTTGTAGTCAAGGTTTAAACTCTTGAGCCTCTCTGCCTTCCTGCCCATTCTCCCTTCTTCCCAGCTCCTCTGGAGAGTTTGAGAATTTCATGGTATTACCAGAATTTGACTTAAGTTTTCATCTGGTAACCTGAACTATGTTTTATCAACCGAGTTACAGTGTTTGGTAAAATTAAGAGGATATGTTTTTTGCAGTGTTCTCCAAAACTTTTTTTTCCCTACTGAAATAACCTGAGAGTGAGGTCTTGTTAATTTTCTTAACCTGGGGAAACTGGGGAAGCTGAAGCAGCATACACAAGACTACTGACATTTTTTGTGTGTGTGTATTTTTTCTTTTTTTTTTAAGTAGGCTCTATGCCCAGTGTGGAGCCCAATGTAGGGCTTGAGCTCACGACCCTGAAATCAAGACCTGAGCTGAAATCAAGAGTTGGACACTTAATGGACTGGGACACCCAGGCGCCCCTTATGTGTACTTTCCTCTGAAAAGAGTCTTTATATTTTAAACTCTTCAAAGGGGTTAAGTGATCTCCAAACACTTAAAAACCAGTTCTGAACAGCAGTGGGGATCATTTTTTAACTCTCCAACCACAGCTTCTTTAATCCTATTTTCCTCTAGAAATGTGTGCTGCCTTTCATTCTTTGAGTCCATTTCTCCACCTTTCTTTTAATTTTAACCTATTCTTTAGGGATTTCTGGCTAACATCTTGATGGCTTTTGTGTATATTAGATGTGATACCCTGGAGGAATAGTTTCATGGTTTAGTTGTAGAAGTAATATACGTAAGACCTAATAAAATCTGTGCTAAACTGGATGGTCAGGGAAAACCAGTGCGTAAGAGTTTAAAGGAGAAGATGAAGGAGCATATGGGAATTGTGATGACAGATGTGAGGGTGACACAGAGGAGATGCAAACCTTGAAGTAACATTCAAGGGAGATTCATCTAGAAGTGGAATGTGTAGGCAAGAATGGAGAGGAAGAGTCAGGAAAAGCCAGATGTGATGAGGTTGCAGTGTTACAGATAAGAAAATGATTCTTGGAATAATGCTAGAGAGAGTAGGGAGGGAATGGGATTGGGACATTCTGAAGGAAAATGTAGGATTTCTTCATTGGACTGTATAGGATGGAGGGAGATGCTTGAATTGCAAATAGGGACAATTGGATTTGTCCATCTTTTGTGAAATACTGCAAGGTCACATTTAGGGGAAACCTAAATAAGAGACTCAGAAAACAAAACCACGGCCAAGCAGGTGAATATTGGGTTTTTTTTCGATTTTTCTGATGTGGCCTATGAAAGGTCACCTATATTCTCAATGACTTCTGTTAAGCAGCTTTCAGAAAGATCTATTCTCAAATTCAATCCGATTTTATACCAAAGTTTTGAATTCAATTATCTAATTATAATCTAATATTTATCTTTTATTACCTCAAAATCAATTTACCGACATCCACTAGGTACAACAAATATACAGAAATAGGATAAATAAGATACCCATTTATACATCTAGATAGAGTGTACATTAACACTAATGCAGTTTGATGAAGAACTGGAAAAAATCTATTGCAAATAGCTGGGAAATTTTCGTGAGATATCAGAGCTGGACCTTGAAGGATGGGCATGATTTTGCAGGTGAAGATGAGTAAAGAGGATAATTTTGGGTAAAGGAATAACAAAAGGTAAAGGAATAACAAAAGGTAAAGGAATAACAAGGAATAAAAAAGGCCAGAATGTGCGGGTTTGGAGGGGGAGGAGTCTGGAAGTTAGGCTGAGGAAATAGCAAGAATTTTGAGTGCCAAGGATCTGGTAGAATAGGGCAGAGCAGGTTAGGGCTGAGGCCTCCACTGTCAAATTTCAGAAAAATTGCCAGAGCAATGCAAAGAATACCCACGTACGCTTCACACCGATTCACCAATTGTTTAATATTATGTAGCCGACATCCCTATAACTTCCTTTCTTGATAAGCCTCTCTCCCTCCTCATCAGTGATTCAGGGGTTTTCGACCTTGTTTTCCCTCCACTTGTACTGACTCCCCACACCCAGTCTGGCTGATTCTTACTTATACTTAAGGCCTCAAGTACTCTCGAAGACTTCCTTCACTCCCGAGGTCCAACCCGGTGCCGGAAACCCTGCCCCAACTCGCCGGATGTCTCCGGCTCCCACGCAGCCCAGAGCGGAAGGGGCGTGGCCCGAGAGCGGAAGTAGCCGGGAGCCGGAAGTGCGAGCGCGCGTGCCGGGCGCTGTCCAGGAAGCCTGGGAATGAGAATGCCGTTGGAAGGGAAGAACAAACGGAAGAAAAAGGGAGGTGCGGAGGAAAGGTGAGTGGCGCGTGGCACGTCTACCCGGGCGAAGGTGGTCGTTCGGGAGCTCGGGCGGGCGAAACGGTGGGGCGTGGCGTGGCGTGGCTGAGTTTGTGGCGTCGGTGTCTAGAGACGACCCAGACGGCGGCGTTCGCGGGAATCTGACAGGAGACTATGTGGTTGGACAAGTCGCCAGCAGCTTGTTCCAGGGCAAGCGGCCCTGCAGAGACACCACAGCTCGGCTGGCGTCCCTCTTCAGCTCTTTAGAGCCTCAGCCTCAACCCGTGTATCTGCGTGTGCCGAAAGTAAGTCACCGGCTTCTATTCCGAATGGCCCGTTAGAACGGCTTTTTACCTCGCAGGGCTTGGTTTCTAGAGTGGGGCAGATAGGATTAATTTTAAGTAACCGTTCATTACTGGACATCCAGTGGGAGAGAAAATTTGCAAATTTAGAAAGACTGCTAAATTATCGAAAAAGATGAGTTCTCAAACATAACTTCCAATTTTTAAAAGGAGACCACCAAAAAAAGGAAACGGGATGAGGAGGAAGAAAGTACATTCCAAATTCAGAGACCACTCTTGCAAGAACCTTCAAAAAAAGCGAAAGCGAAGAAGAAACTTTCTGATGCAGACAAAAAGTTGGCAAACAGGTTGGCAGAATTCTCTTAAGTTGATGTTAAATTAGATGATAAAGAAATTAGATTTTTGGACCTGCAATATTCTTTTTTTTTTTTCTCATTTCGTAGTTCTAATATTTACCAAAAAATTATTATGGAAAATTTCATATGTATTCAAAATTTGAAAAGGATAAGGAGAACCTCATATACCCAGCATCAACAGTTATTCATACTTGGCCAGTCTTATTTCATCTTTACCCCATTCATAGCTCCCTCACTAAGTGGAAGCAAATCTAAGATCTATAATCTATCTGTAAATATTAGAGCACGAAGAAGAATTTTGTTTTCTTATTTATTTATTTTTTTTTAAGATTTTTAAGTAATCTCTACACCCAATGTGGGGCTTGAAACCACTACCCGAGATCAAGAGTAGCTTGCTCAACTGACTAAAAGCCAGCTAGGCGCTCCTATATAGGCACAGCTTTTTATGTTCTAGGCTAGGAAAAAAAAAATCTCAGGGAAACAAATACCCACAAGCCTTATTTTTAGTTTATTTGACCTTTTTCTACAACCCTACTATATGCTTTCTTTTATGTACTACAGTTTTGTTCAAAAATACATATTGATGAAAGTTTTAAATTCACAGCGGACCTGGAAAATATGACAAGTGCTGAACGTATCACAATTCTTCAAGAAAAACTTCAGGAAATCAGAAAACATTATCTGTCATTAAAATCTGAAGTAGCTTCCATTGATCGGAGGAGAAAGCGTTTAAAGAAGAAAGAGAGAGAAAGTAAGTATTAATCTTACTTAAAAAGCAGTTTATGACTGCATTTAGACTCATGTGAGTTTATGTCTATGTATCTTCGGGCAAGTTCTTTAATTGCTCTGCCTTATTTTCCTCATCTATAAAATGGAAAAAGTTTATCTAAAGAAAAACAATTATCTCAAATCACAATGTTCACTTTCGTGGAGTTTACAATCTGCCTTAAAAAAAAAAAATGAGATTTTGGATCGTGAACAGCACTGTGAAGAGAATGATGTTAAGGCAGGGATTGGATGGGCTGTGTTAGATTACCAGTGGTCAAGACATTTTCATTGAGACCTGAATGACCAGAGGAAGTTAAATCTGAGGGAAAAGAGTTCTCTTAGTCTGCCAGGGCTGCCATTAACAAAGTACCCCAGACTGGAGTCTTAAACAACAGGAAATATATTGCTTATCTCCAAATACTGTCACAATGGAAGTTAGGGCTCCAACAGAGAAATTTAGAGAGACACAATTCAGTCCATAAGAGTCCTGGGCATAGAGAACAGCACGTATTTCCTAAGATAGAGTTTCTTAAGCTTGGAACTATTGACATTTTAGGCCAGATAATTCTTTGCTGTGGGGGGCTGTTCTGTGCACTGTAGAATGGGTTAGCAGCATCCTTCATCCCTGGCCTCCAACCACTGGATGCCGCCCCCCCCACCCCCAACCTCAGGACAACCAAAAATGTCTCCAGATGTTTTTCAAATATCCTCTAGGGGGCAAAATCTCCCCAGATTGAGAACAGCTGCTCCAAGGAGGGGAGATACACTTGGTGCCTTTCAGGAGCAGAAAGAAAACCACTGTGGTGAAAGTGATAGAGACAGAAGTTAGGTAAGCAGAAGCATAGAGACGGAAGTTAGGTAAGCAGAAGCCAAATCATGTGGGGCCTTGTAGGGAAGGATGAAGGGTTCAGATTTTATTCTAAGTGAGATGGACAGCTATTTGAAAGTTTTAAACAGAATGAAAGTGACCTTTTCAAGAGCATTTACGTGAGCTGTGGAGATGGAGAAGCTGTATTAAAGCTGATTAAGTGGAGGAAGGGGTAGGGAAGTAGAGGAGGTAGAGAAGGTGACCCTAGGAGAAAGGGAACCCTAGGAAAATCTTACGTTTTATAGTTTTGTAGTGAATGCAGAAAGCGGACATTAGGGGTGGGGGGAGGGGACAGTGTCATTTTTTTTTTTTAAGATTTTATTTATTTATTTGAGAGAGAAAGAATGAGAGACAGAGAGCATGAGAGGGAGGAGG